GTATTGCTGACTTTGTTTTAAGCAGTTTCATATATGCAGTTAGGTGATGCAGAATAGTGGCACTAACATAATCTCTACTACTGACTTGCTGTTAGATACCAGTGGAAATTAAAGTCTGAGTGACTGTCTTGGAACTGGAAACATCAGGTTCATCACCTTGTTACGTTCTCTCTTCTCCTGCACTTGCCAAGGAGCTGTAAATAGTAAACAAAAAATGATGTTTCAACATCTTTGGGATGTTGTAGCTTAATTGTGTTTACTTTTCTTCAGGACATAGTCTAGCCCAAGGCAGAATAACCTTTTTCTAAACTTCAACATTTACTAATTTAACTGTGTATTTAGAAAGGAAGAACACAACTGTTACTTGAGGGAGGGAAGAGACTGATGTGAAACATGGTCTAGTTTTGTTTAGTATTTCCCCACTTGAAATGATACCAATATTTTTTTTAAGATAGCTGGGATAGATCCAATGTTTGTCTTGCACCTGTGTTTTGCTCCAGGTGTGTAGTGTCCTCTGTTCTGACCAATGGTTTCACAAGTACTTAAAATATGAGTCTTCCAAGGTATTTTTTGAAGTTAAAGCTACCTCTGTTAGTCCATGTATTCTGTCTAGAACTAAACCTTCACCATGCCTATATCAGCATGTCAGTACAAGAAAAAAGGAACCTTCTGCAAAGAGCTACAGGTTCCTTCAGCATGCTAAAACTGCTGGTGTTAAAGTTCACCAGGTTTTATTTGGGAATTGTGGGGTCTTAAGACCTGAATTAGAAAATATTTACATGGTTACTTCTAGGAGATCTGAACGGGGTACAAGGTCTGCCTTCATGTTTGGCCAGAGCAAATGTCTTCTGGCAGCAGTTTCTTCAGGACTTAAAAGAACCTGAGTTCTTGTTCCTAAGCACTCTACCTCTGTGGAAGAGAGCTATGAAAAGTTTTCAGCAGAAGCTATGTCCTGTTCTGTTTCAGCTGTATCTGAAACCAAGGATGTGCTTATCTGACCAAAGAACAAGTGGTACCAAGATTTCATGTCCAGGTACTTAGAGCTAGTATATCAGCTGTGAGACAAAGATGCTTTCACTGCTAGTTTGAATGGGTAGTAAAAGGGAAGCAGGAATTCTTCATTTAAATCCACTGTGATATATACCCTAAGTGTGTGTGTGTGTGTGTGTGTGTATATATAGATACACACATTCTTGTATATCTATATATACACATTCTTGTTTTAGAGAGGAGAATCAGGTTGGAAATACGGAGAACTTTTAAACCACAGTGCAGAATGAGCATGTTGGATTTTCCAAGGACCTTCAGTAAAAAATAGCAAAGAAAATGGAGTATTTAGTGGCATAATGTAAGCAAAAGGGCTCAACCTGCAGACAACCACTGCTTCGAGCAAGGGCATTTAGAGGGATGGGATGTGTACACATTGTAGGGATGTGCAGTGCACTTAAATTCTGAGCCTGCAGATTTGATCATGGATGAAAGTGATAAAACTGCCTGTGTTTGATCTTGGCTATACTGGGTTTCTTTTATATTTCCACGAGAGCTAACATTCTGTGGAAGATAGAAACCACCTTGGTTTTCCAGTTAAAAACTGGCTTTAGAAAGGTACGTCTATTGATCTAACCCTGTGCTGCATTGTGTGCCCTGCTGCTGCTGAGCTCTTTTGTGCATCTCATGTTAGTAACGTATATACACGTGGGCTATGTAAAGACTAAAACAGTGTAAGGAAAATTCTGAACCCCTGGAAAGGGGGATGACCTATAGTAAGATAGAACATTGCTTGAAATACATTCTGTGGAATAAGTCACATTTTGAGTTGATGTCCAGTGATCATCTCTGAAGATACTCTGTAGTGTCCCCCTCACACCTCAGTCCTCTGATGGATGGTAAGCAGGAGGGGGACGCCTGCTGGCATGCACTGTGTCGAGGAGTATTTTGCCTCCTCAGCCTGTCACTTGGCACAGCTGATGTAATCCTCTCTTGTGCCGTTTCCACTTTGCTGTGGCAGCTCTGTTGCTGTGCAAACTAGCAGTTTCAAAAGGGAACCCGAGTTCTGTGCATGGAGGGGGCCTGAGTAAAGTCTTTGAATGCTGTGGGTTCCGCCTGTGGGCTGTATGTAGGGCACTGCTGGCTGATGAATATAACTGGGAGCAGGTAACGAATGTCGTAACTTGGCAGTTGGATGATGCTGTATGTGAATGTATATCATGTGTTTTCTCTTGATCCAGGTTTTGAGCTTCCTCTCTTCAAAAGCCTTGTTTCTTGTAATTGGAACAGCCAGATTTTCATGTTTTGCAATAACTGTGTGCATGGAAAATTAACTTGCAAATTGCCATGAATGTGGATTTGGTTATGGCAATGTCTGTGGACAACTCAACTTGAAGGAACTGTTGAGAGCAACAGGTGCTAACCCAGAACAGATTCTTTTCTTACCTAGTTCTTAGACTAGTCCTCTCTGATCCTCTTGCCTCCACTATTTTGCTGAAGGCTTTTTTGGATGCTTTTCCTCAATTCTCTTGGGCCTAGCAAATAAAAAGGCCCAGTAAACATAGCCTTATGTGTGCCTGGTGTAAGGTGGCTTGTACTAAAAGGAATGATGAGAATGACTAGTTTGGGTTAGGAAATTAGAAACTCCTAGAAGAGTATTACAGGGATGTATTAACTTTTTGCTTCTCAGGCTGCCTAGTAACTAGAGCCTGGACAGCTGTAGTTCATATGACTTATAAATGACTTGAAAACCTGTGTAGCAGCCCTTAGGTTAGATCTAAAGCCCTGCCCCATAAAACTAACATTTTCTCTTCTGTCATTTAATATAACTGTATGGGAAGTGCCACTTGGCAGGTGCTTCACCTTCAGCTTGAAGAGCACATTTGGAGTTTCTTGCATGCATATGGTCGGATGGACCGTGGCCTCAGCTGTCGCACTGACCAACACCTAGACTGCCTGTTGTACACAGGGAAAAGCTGGATTATCTAAGATAGAATCTAATACACTGGTATTTCACACATTGAGGTATTCCAGTAAGTAGGATCAATTGGGCAAGTCTCAAAGGAAATGGAAGTATTTATCCTGTATTGCTGATATTTGCCTCTTGTGCTGTATTTATGAAGTTACACAGGTACCAAACCCTAAGCTGGCTTACATAATAAATAGTTAGTTCTACCACTGTAGCAGATTGCTGAGAGGCAAAAATGTAAGGAAAATGTTTAGAAACTGCTTTGCTACTTTAAAGTTGCAAGGCTTTCTCCAGTGTCTTTTTTAAAGAATGTGCATTTATAAAATCAACTTTGATAATTTGTGTCACTGTAGCATTTTAGATTGCTTTTAATTAAAATGTACTAAAATATTAATGGCTGTCTGAATTACTGCTTGGCACAGGTCTATTGAAGGAGTTAATGGGGGGAGGACAGGGTAAAGGAAACCCAAATACCTTTACTGACTCTGCTTTCACTTTTACAGCAGCCCAGCTTTCAATTTCATCTTACGCTAATATATCCAGCTCTCCACAAGTGAATGTATTTCGATTTCCCCCCCTTCAAACCAAACCAACATGCCACATACCAACAAAAAAGCACGTTTCCACAAACTTCTTGAGTATCAAAGGATTTATTAAAGTAAAATAAATTAAGATCTTGTTTAGTTCAAGGTACGTGGCTTTTGTAATTAAGGCTTACATAGCCATTGATTCTACAGATAAAAATCTGTATATGGACTTAACTCCTGTAGCTCTCATTAAATAAGTTAGTTATGTCTCATTCTGTACTTGTACTTCCTGTGTCTAGAGCTGTGCTCTTTAGAATAGATTGTTCCAAGAAAATGTCAATACCTGTGCTTCCAAAATAAGTTTTAAGAAAGCACTAAATGAAGCAAACAGGAATATTTTGAATATTCATGGTAAAGTAACGTACTTAACTACCAGGCTTTTGAACTCATTTTCCATTGTGGTGATTATCTGAAAGCTGTAGTTAAGTCCACAAAGTATATTGCTATACATTATTACAGGTTCAACATTAAAGCAGAATGTAACATAACAGCATTTTCCCCTCCTATTCAGTAGACTTCAGTCATGCTTCAAACGAGGACGAGCCTGCAGTCTCTCAGGTTTTACACAGTGAAATAGATGCCTTAAAGTGACTGGGATGGTGCTTTTCTGTGGGATGGGATGATGCTTAGCTTTGATGCTTTGGTAAGAAGTTTAGACCACCAGCATGTTAAGGCAGTTTTCCCTCACAGCCCAGTGTCACCAGCACTGCTGGTTACAAGCTCCTTTTCCAGAGCTCCCTGTTGCTCTGTACTATGATGGTGCATCTCTTGCATCTGCTGTAGCCTCCTGAGCAGACCGACAGCAGTTCCTTGCTCAGACTTCTACGAGAGGCTGGAGGTCAGTTTCCTGATCTCAAGCTCATCAAAGCTGCATTTAAGACCGATGTTTTATGTATTTCAAAGAATGGAAAAGTCCAAAACAAAATCTGCAACAAATCAACTGCTACACGCTGTGGAAGGACATGCCATGATGGCATGGTAGGACATCTCAATGCAGCCGAAAGACTGCGTCACAGAACAGAATGTAAGCACCTAAAGCATGTTTGAAGTATCCCAAATCCTCCATTTTCTAGAAATTGCAAAGGAGAACATGCTGGCTACTGACTAGAGTAGAACTTGTAGAACTCTTCCAGGTCATTGTTACATAAGAAAGTCTACTACTACAAACAGTGGAATTGGAAGAAACTGGGTTTTTCTCCTCCTGCCTCGTAAAAGAGCTGAGTTGCGACTCTCTCGTGTTCTCTTATGCAAGGGGAGCAAATCTCCTTCACAGGGCAGGTGATTCAAGGCTCAGCAATGCATTAAGACAAGAAAGTTAAAATAGAGCTGAAGCTTAATACGCTAACAAGTTCTTTTATGCCTTCAGGTCACTTTTGTTTCACCACAGTTCTTGCTTCAACTCTCAAGTTGACAAACTAGCTCTGTGACTAGCTGCTGATTTCTACTAGCTGTGTTTTCCCATGGAGTAAGACAGCTGAAATGTCCCTAACTTTGTGCCTTTATTGCTTCGTCTAAATCATCCACCACTTGCTGCAGCTTCTGTAGGCTGGGGTAGACGTTCTCCTCCATCCACTCCTCTACAGTACACTTGTGGAAAACTTGCTCCATGGCTGCTTGGAGGTCTTGCACCACAGCATTCCACTTGGAGAGAAGACTAAACAGAAATCATAAGATAGAAACAATCACATCTGTAGGTGAGCTCTGCCCCAAGGGAGGCTTGGCTTACTGGGCCTTCTAAAGGCCTTAAAATGCCTTTACAGGAAAGGAGCATCTATTACAAGAGCTCAAAGGACTTGACTTCATGCAGATACAAAAGGTTTGTGATTAAGTACCATTAATCTTGGCACTTTCTGTAAGCAGTGACTTTTCCAGTACTGAAATATGAACTCAGAAAAGCACTAAACACATTTAAAGTGTAACTGAAACTCACTTGAGACTTGTTGGGAATTTAATTCTGGTTTTTAATCAGGAAGAGTGGATGCAGTTGGGTACTCACCTCACCACAGCAACAAAAAAAAGTCCTAACTATCTATTTAGCGTGAACCAGCATGATGTCTAGGATGAGCTCTGAACAGCTCATAGTGGCAGGGAGCAAGGTGAAGTGGTCCGGCTTTATTTTCCCTGCCTGGAACCTGGCCCACAGGGAGCTCCTACATGGAGGTGAACAACTGCTGTCAGAGGCAGCAGGTCTGTACAGGAGTAACTCCGTGTACAAGGACGAGTTTGTCAGAGCCCAATTTTGTTCTTGTATTCAAAATATTTTTTCAGTAGAAGACAAAGACAAACATGCTTAAAACCATAATATGATTACTTCACGCTGTCTGGTTTCTGCTGATGCTTCTGAAACAGTCATAGAAAGAGGCAGGACTCGAAACTCTATGTACTTGAATGCCCAAAATATGAGAGATTTTGTTTCCCCCTATAGTGCAAAGTAAGTGGTGTTACCTTACTGCATCTGGCTGAAAGTGATGCATTATTATAGGATGGATAATCTTCCTTTTCCTGTGGTAGGGGCTGAACCAGCCTGTGACATACCTGAAAACAGACATTAGCATGAGCAGGTTTTGACACAGCAGCAATGTACCTGTGTAGGCTGACAGGGAGGTGGACAGGGCTTTAGCTGAACTTCTGCACAAACAGAATGCTTAAGAGTAAGTAAACTTAAGTCTACACATCTTTGGAACCAACTTGTAAAAGACTGTTCTTGGCAGATGAGAATAACTGATTATGTGTTGCAATTTAAGTTTTATTTCAAGCTCCCTTTTTTGTAACCACACCATTAACAATAATTTTAACTTTAAAAACCAGATTTAATTCAGGGAAGAACTAGATTCTTGAGATAAGGCAGCATATACTATTTAGGAGTCCCGCTAAAATACTTCACATTTGAATCAAAATGCTATGTTCTGCTGAGGTGTCAATACATGGGGATGCAATGCCTGAAACAGAGCTTGATGTTTAAACTGCTTTGCTGGAGTTATGCCCTGTTTTGAGATGATACAGCCCCAACACTCCTGCAGACAGCAGAGAATTAACATAAACCTTATTACCTGTTCCTTTCAAGAAGTTCATCCACTGATGACTTGAGGTAGAAACTAACTTGGGTCACAAGCGTAAGGATGTTGCTCCCAGGAAAGGTTCCCAAACTTGTGCTGTCCAAAAAGGATCCGTTAGTTTCTGACCTTACTACGCCATAAGAAGCATCTGAGTCCTACAGCTGGAATTTTACCTCATGAAAGTATCAATTTCCAGGTTAGACATTCCCAGGAGCTTTTCCACATTTTCTTTAACCTCTTCAGAATAACCACCTGGCAGAAGACAGTGGAAATACATAAAAGGAGCTTAAATACCTAAATGTTCACAAAAGTGTTTTTCAGGAGCACTCTGCATTGGCTTAGTTCTCCTTGGATGAAGATGTTTTTTAAAAGGTAAAATGGAAATAGAACAAGGGGTGGGAGGAGTAAGCTGTGTTTCACACACTTGTCTTGTGTTAGGTAAAGCACTTCCTAGCTATGAGCTACTGTAAGCACTGAATATTTTTAGTGCCTTAGTTAAAAACCAGTAGGTTGTGGGGGTTTTTTAGGTTGAAAATAAGAAATTCAATAAGACAAAATAACAGTTCTGCTGGCAACTGCCTGTGAAGAAACCAGAATCTAAAGGAAGTATTTCACCTGATAATGTACTTCCTAGATGAAAACTGATTAGTTAAAACAACTTTTACATGTAAGCAAGATCTATATCTCAGTCTCATTAATTTAAATCTAAATGAGTCTCATTTATATACCAATAGTGCTTCAAATCACTTCCAAAACCAATTCAGCTGCCAGCATGAAGAAGTCTGTGACTATTTGCAGGTGAGAACATAATAAATGATTAGTACACTATGGCTATTTTTAAATACTTAGGCCAAGAGCCTTCTCTGCTCCCATATCACAAACATGCAATATGTGTAATTTATTGTTCATAATTCAGACCATGATCAGATAGTCAAACTGCCTGTGCCAACCTTAGGGCAAGGTCACTTCACTCTTGTGCTAGGCATAAGCTGAGAGAATAAAGTTGCCATTGTACCATTCTTTAGTGTCTGCAGACATACGGCCAAGGATGGAATTGCCACTGGGAGAAGCTCACACAAAACAGAGAAGTGATCATACCTAGATAAGAAAACATTCATTAATTAGACATTTTACTGTTAGAACACACTAAACAAGTGGGAAGTCCTAATATTTCAATCACCAAAATTCAAAAAGCTTTAGAAACTGTCTCCAAGAAGGGACCTTCTATCTCTGAAATGCCAAGTGTTCCTATTTTACTGATAACAACAGTTACAAACCAATTTATTTTCTCAAGCCAAATTACGAACAGAAATTGGAATTCAACTCTTTGGTATGCTTTCAGACCTCCTGACTGTTGCATAAAACCCTTTTTCTCCTTCATTACATTAACAAGTTCTTCTCTTTTATGCGACTTCATTCTATTTTAATCCACATTAGATGTTCAGATATACACCATGTATTAACTATGCTGTCTATAAGCAGTTTAAGGTGGCACGAAGTACATTCAAGCCTTCAGATTGAATCTGCTGCTGTTGGTGTCTGCCAAAACAATCACTCGTGCTGGTTAATGCTGTACTGGTTAGCTGGAACTCTGAAATCCACCCTTCGTAACCAGTGGGTGAGGTCCAGCAGTAACCAACAGTAAGGACTGCAGGGTTGCAAAGTTCCCTTCTAAATCCCCAGCCTCCTTGGACCTCTTAAGGACTTTCTGGGTGGAAGTTTGCTTCCAAGTGACCCTTAGAACCATTTAAAAGGATGTTCCTTACCTCTGCCAGCCGGTCAGTGCGATACCTTCGAGGACATCAGCAGGGCTTTTGCTTGCCACTTCCAGCCACTGAAGATGGTTTTTTAAGTGATGTCCAATAAGGATTAGAGACTGATTCACTCCTGTAGCTCCTTTAAAAGCACTAGCAAACCACACCTTGGAGAAGCCACATCTACGATACTTCTCTATGAGATGCACTGCAATAAGACACAAAAGAACACTTACAGGACAAGTTTTCCTCTATTTTCAGCCGTGACTTGTAATGCTCCAATTAAGGGGAACCCAGGTCCAGTTACAACAGGCTTGTCCCACCAAGTTTTGAGCATCAACAAGGACAGGAGATTTGACATCCTCTCTGAGCAACCTGCCCTGGTGACTGCCCTCCGGGTTTCATGTGCCCAGCTACTATATTCCATTCCCTTGAATTGCTAAATTGCTGTAATGTTAAGGACTGTAGGCATGTAATGAGAATGCACATCATCTGACAACTGCTTGTTGAAAGAAGATAAATAGTACCAACTATTATGTGACATCAAACAAGGGCTATGTTTATGATATTAAAGCATAGTAATTACTTCTATGCAGCTCAGCAGACATACAAACCTTTGCCTTCCACATCCAGGTCTGCTGCATAGTCCCAGATCATCGGCTGCACAAGCTGTGGGACCCCAGATTCTGAAAGAAAGAGTTCTTTTAAGTCACAGAAAACAGCCAGTTAGAAGTGAGAACTAAGTACCTGTTACTGGTGTAGCAGCACATGACTAGAACAAACTATGGCTTGTCACCAGAATCCTTCAGTTACAGCTGAAGTGCCCCCAGCCTTTTTTCAGCCTGGCGGGACTTTGAACGTGTGGGTTTCATGTGCCAGGGGCCACCAAGTCCCCAGATGTTTTGAAACCACTAATATGGATCAGCAGGGACAATTCATGGGAGAGCCTGTTCATCCCAAGCTCATCTCATTCTTAGTCCCTTGCATCTATCTGTATAGCTGCTGGTTGAAATGGCCGAGCTACAAACTGTACACACAAGATTTCAGCTAAATTCAAAGGAAATATTCAGCCTTTAAGCCAAAGTTGGTCTGAGCTGTGTTTGCAGAGAACTGAGCTTTTCAAGATACTTTTAAAGTACAAGGTAAGATACAGGTTTAGCTTAAATCTTTTAATAATCACCCCTGACTAGTTTTAACCATGAGAAACCAACCCCTAGAGAAACTGCAGTAAATTGTACAGAATTCAGTATTGTAACTGCATCCCATTTTAGCTTGTTTAGTCTGGTTTTGCCTGTGGCAGTAGAGTGCACTTTCCTATAAGCTGTGCTGCTCTTGGAAACTCCGTGAGTCCCATCTGCATTTTTTGGGATGACTTCCCACTGTTAGAGCCATGAATAGGTCAGTCACTGCTGGAGGAGCTCTTCTGGTACTGTCTAAATGCTGGAACTCCATCTGTGCTGGGACTACTCACAGTTCAGCAGTAGTTTCCTATTTTTCAACCAGCAAGACTCATGATGTCAAGTTCTTGGAGCTACCCCACAGTTCAGTATCAGAGTTCCTCGTGATGTGCACCGTGATCACATATACTGTCAAAGATGCTTACAGGCTTGCAGCTTCTCTGTGGGAACCAGATGCTCCACAGAGCAACAACTAACATGAGTAGGTGGTGAGAGGCACTGAAATTTAGACTGAGATCACAAATGCTAATAGTTTGGGGGTTTTTAATGTGTGTAAAGAAAGCAGGTTTGATGGCAACCACTGTGTTTCATTTGTCACTGTGTATTACCAGCTGCAAAACTAAAGTGTATGTGTTGCGACTTACCTACTGTCGTGTAGAGAGTCCGTGTCGTAGCCACGGACTGAGTGTCTCTTCTCTCTCGTCTAATGGATCCTATCTCAGCTATTCTCAGATGTGTTGTTTTCACTATTTTCAGCTGCCAACAAATCTGGTTTAACCGGTTGTGTGAACATTTTTTGTATGCTACAAAAACTGACTCACCCCATCACTGGCCACACACCTGCCAAGGTCTCCTCACTTATCCCTCGGAGCATGTCATCCCACACGATGGGTGTCACAGCGGGGTAAGATGAGGCCACACAACTCGCTACTGCTTTTATGTGGGATAAGCACAGCTTCTCTGGAGTGTTGTCCTGTTGCTGCAGCCACTGCTTTGACTCCTCTCCTTCGCCGAGGTAGTAGACCTGAAACATCAAGCAAATAATCCTGACTTTGTGTACAGGAATAAGTGGAACAGTTTGACACAGTATTATGAAATCATACAGTATTCAAAACCTCTTGCACAGATGTGACAAACTGAGTGGATGTACTTAAAAGCCTCTCTCAGTGTTGAAGACACTGCAAGCATTTCTGTCAGTCTGCAGGAAACTGCAGCCATGACTAAATGCATCACGTAAGGGCATATTCCTACAGAAACTAAAATATTTAAAGAATAATTAATGCATGCTGTATTTTCTTTGAAGTAGCTCTCACTAATTTAATCAGTTCAAATCTAGCAACCCATAGGTCCTGAACGATATAAAATGAAATTCCTGTCTTGGGGAAAGAGATTTCTCTACGTGAATCTAGAAATGACTTGGGAGCATGTCCAAGAGCAGCCTCAGCATCCTTGTCCTATGCAGAGAGTGGATTTGGGCCTGTTAAGCAGCTAAACTCTCTGCTGGTTTAGAGCAGGTTTTATCTAAACTATGTTTATTCTACATAAATAGGGTTTTGCTTTATAAAAGCTTACAGCTCCCTACCTAACCCTGCCACTGGTTCCCATGCAACTGGATAGAAAACACTAAATAATATCAGTACAGTTAAGGTGATCACAACAAATTTCAGGCACCTGTGTGCCATACGAATGGTTTTAAGAAACTCTGAGAAAGGAGAAAACTCAAGGTGCTCCTCCTCAAGGAAACAAACTACCAAGATAAAATACCCCAACACTTCCCACCATGAAAGGGCTTACTTTGAACAAGTTGGCCAGAACAACGAGCCAACATCTTACGTCCAAACTCACATGATGCTTATTGAATATCCTCAATTAATATCTCACTTTAAATCCCAAAAATCCTACCCCAACATCACCTGGGCACCACTGAAATGCAGAAGCCTTGGCCCTTACCATCATTCCTGACAAGAAAAACATTCCTGGCTCAAGATAAGTCCCACCTCATCACATCCGATGTGAAACCATTTTATGTCTTCATGCAGCGCCATGACCTGGTCAATCATGGCTTTGACCAGTGCCCGCGACTCCTCCTTGTGTGGGTTGAGGGCGTTGGGAAAGACCTTCACCTCCCGGAGATGAGCAAACTCTTTGTGCTTCAGCACAAACTGCAAGAGAAAGGCGAGCGTGGGGAACAGCCGCACCGCGCAGGGGCCGGCAGCGTCCCCTGGGCTCTGCTAACACTTGTCCTGCTAAAACCTGCGGTTTGGCTGCGTGTGAGCTCCGGGGACCGCACGGCTGCTGCTTCATGCTTTTGTGGGGGGTCTCCGACCACGAAGCACTCCCCGGGGTGCAGGAAGCAGGGCGGTCAGTGCGGCATCACCCCTGTGTCCGAAGCGCACAGCTGCTGGCAGCTGGATAACAGGATTCCCGGGCAAAGCCACCCCTCCACCATCACCCTGCTCATCC